ATTTTACATTCCTTCTTAAAGTTCATTTATAAAATAAAAATGTAACTATAATTGAATATTTACTTGTCATGCTATTTTAATTTTAACATCTTACTTTTATATTTTAGCTGTAATTTAAGATAACTGCAGATGGATTAATTTGTTTTTTTATAGGACGATCAAATTATAGTACAAAGATTTTTTTTTTTGGATAATTATAGTACAAAGATTGGTGTCGTATTTTTATCATAATAATTTTAACATATAATCGTGGATGAAGTCAACTTCGAAGGAGGGGTGTCAAATGACACCCAAATATTTCTAATAAAAACGTTTTTTTATATAAATTTATAATATAATATAAAAATAAATAAATCACACCACCTTTGAAAAGGTCTTAAAAAAATAAATGTTATAACATTAAAATTAGTCTCTAACATTCATTCAGATAATCATTTTATTTCTTTTTTTAGAGAAATTTGACCCTTAATATTTCATTTTAGTGTAAAAAGATTTCTTTATAAATGAAAGGCTTAATATACTTTCAGATGCCTAAATTATATCTCAAATTGATTTTTGGTGCCTAAAGATTTTTTTCATTAAAAATAAGTGCATAATGTTTTGTCCGTTACACTTTTAGATGCCTACTGTTAAAAAAACCATTAAGCGACACGTTTTTTTAATTAAATTATTATATAATTTATTTTTTAAAAAATCTGAACATGCACGTGATAGTTAACGGTTTTTTTAACAATAAACACCTAAAAGAGTAACAGAGAAAACATTAGGCGCTTATTTTTAATGAAAAATCTTTAGACACGAAAAGTCAATTTAAGTTATAGTTTAGGCACCTAAAAGTATATTAAGGCTAAATGAAAATAGTTAATTAACAAATTGTTAACAATCTAAAAGAGAAACATTTTTACTCTAAAATGAAACATTGAGGATCAAAATGCTTTAGGAAAAAAAGAATAAAAACCAAAATGACTATTTAGTTAATGATATGAGACTTTTTACCTTAAAATGAAACATTTAGGACCAAAATTCTACAAATAAAATAATAAGGGACAAAATGATCATTTTAATAAACTTTAGGGATTGATCTTTGTATTATGCCAAACATAAATCGACCACACCTTTAAAAAAAATCATATAATTTTATTTAAATATCATAATTTAAAATTATGACACTCTAATTTTAAATTTATAGCTCTGCCAAGGATATAACAAAAAGTTAAAATCCATCATTCCAACTACACATAAAACTTTTAAGCTTGGTATATATATTTTAGATAGTTGAATTACCTAGTTTTAATAGTTGAGATTAAAATTTTTAAATTAAATGTAATTTATTTTTATGTAATTAAACTTTTAATAATTAAAGTAATATAATAATATTTTTAAAATTCACTGATAAAACATAATGATGTTAATAAAACTTATAAAGATATGTAAAATTTAATTTTATACTAATATAAATTAATCAATGTATGAGAGATAGACGCTTGAACTTTGAAAGGGAGAGAGCTAGCTAGATCAAGATTGTAACTCTTTTGAGTTTGTGCTAAAATGAATAGTCTAATCAATTCAATTGGGTTTAGATTTATTTTTTTTATCTTTGGATCAATTTAATTTAGAATGAATAGTCTAATATTAGTAGTGGAGTTTTGAGTTTGAATTCTATGGAGTGAGTTCCTCTAATGTGGCATGGAATTTGGAAGAGGGTTCTTGGACACGTGCAAATGATAGCAAAGTCTTTCTAATGATGGGTTCCCACCTCTTCTTCCAGTGTGTGGGATCCCCTCATATATCCGTGCTAATAGGATTGTGTAAAAAAATCTGATCAGACCGATCAAATTCGTTGATTCGATCCGAAAATTCGGATATTCAATCCGTTTTTTAATTTTCTAATAGTTTAGATCGGGTATCCGAAACTTTTTTCAGATTTCCGAATCGAATATGGATCGATAAAAATTCAATTTCGGATTATCCGAAAACCGAATAAATTTGGGCTATATTAATAGGTTTCAAACCTAGAGTTGTTTGGGCGACATGGATTCTTTCAAACCCAGAGAAGTGTGGGTATTACTTATTACTTTAGTGTCAAAGTTAATTTCTCTTAGTACGAAATTTCATTTGTGTTAGAGAGTTGTTTGACTGACAATCACCCAACTTGAACTCTTTGCCTACTCCACCTGCTTTTGTGATGTAAAGTGCATAGTAACCCTCATTTCATTTCTCTGTTTTTCGTCGTCCCCTTCCCTGGTTATTTGTCTTACACTCTTACTCGACTTTCAATGCCCTTCAAAGTATTTCCCTTTCGATATTTTAGTTGCTACTACCAACAATTTCTATCATCATCACAAGCAAATATGAATATTTTAATTGCTGTTAATTTTTTATGAACAACTAAAGAAGAGAGTTATTTGAAGTTGTATCAAAGAATGTTATACATGAAAGACTAATTTAATTTGTCCTCCATTTTCCTAAATTGATGCAGTTTTCTCAAATATTGGTGCAGCCTAAACATGTTTTTGCTTCTGTAAACATGTAGAAGAGAATAAAAGAACATATATGTTTCGCCATTTCTTATCTTTAATTCTTAGGTACATGTTAAAATATTCAGAATGAAATTAAGCTGGATACAAATCCATTATGTTTTTTTTTTATCTCCTCTTCATACAAAACTTATTATGTCCCCTTTATCATTTGTTATTTTCTTTTTTTGTTGTTCTAACAAAAATCATGTTCGGATCCGGATCCAGATATTCGGATATCCGATTTTTTTGGATCAAATACGGATCATTACTTTAGATATCCGAAATTTTCGAATATCCGAAAATTCAGATTGGATAATATACGATACCCGATAATACACACCCCTACTTGCTAAAGTTATTTTGGACTCCCCCGACCCACCCCTACTTGGTAAAGTTATTTTGGACTCCCCCGACCCACCCTTCTATTCTTTTCGTAACCTTTCAGGCAGCAAGACAATCTCAACATTCCCATCTTCAGTTTTTGACTGTCCTTTCATTTGCCAATACAATCTCACCATTACATATTATTATTAAATTGTACTTTATCAATTAAACTGCCGTGGTATTGATAAAAAAATACTATTATATTTTATCTAAATATATAGCATATTAAAAATTATTATAATAGATAAATGCTAAAAAGGACGAATTATGATCAATCCGACATTTATTCTATAATAAAACTAAGGGATTTTGCCTCATGTGGAGTCGGCAAACTTAAATCATAGTGGATTGAGATTCAAAATGTGCTACATGGCTGCTTTTGTTGAATCACTTTAGCATCAAAATGTGCTTCTATTTTACTAGCTATTCGTTTCTACCATCACTTTAGCATGCATGATATCCCTCCGTATGCTTAACTAAATTCATCATTAATGAACCTATTTTCAAGATCATGTTTGATCACAGATGATTGGACAGGCCTCTACCTATTTACAACATCTTCCCTTGTCATTGTTAAATACAACTTGTCATAACCTTTTTTTAAATATAATTAAATTTAAAAATAATTATGTACGAAGAGGGGTCGATTACCACCATTTTCCGTCTTATTTTTTCCTCTTCGAAACCCTTGGCATACCCACTCCCAAACTCGACTCTAATCTTCAATCACTCTCAAAACTCAACATCCAAAATAAAAAAAGACTACCTTTATTCTTTTTCGAACGTTCCAACACCGGCGAGAGGGCTCTCGTTATCTCCAAAGGGGAAGTTTGTTCTCTTTATCTTTTTTTTATATTTTCCTTCTCTCTCTTTATATTTATCTCTCCTGTTTCTAAAAATTTTCGAATCCCCTGTTTGGTTGCCCTTGTTTCGTATTTATACTCGAATATATGTTACATGGTCGATTCACTCTAATCTTCTGCCCCTTTTTGATTGACAATATGATTGTTGCTTTTTGTTTGTCCTAATTTGAATAAGCAAAAATATTCAATTTTTTACTTTTTTTTTTTGCTCTTTTGAGATGATTGATTGATGTGTTATTGGCAGGTTGAAACGACAACGATCGGAAATATGTCAGGGACGGATAGCGGTGGTAGTAGTCGTAGCAGAAGTGACAACAATCATGGTTGAGGTGATGGCTCAATCTTGACAGAAACGACGATACAGCTCACTAAGATTATGATGAAACCCTAGGGTTTATCTCATCTGGGTTGTTGGATATAAGGTAGAACCAATGACTGAAACGTTGGGCGGCGGGGTGATGTTGTAAAAATCCTAGTTTGTTGGGCTATTTTTTTGTTGTATTTTTTCTTTTTTCTAAAAAATTATTTATTTATTTATATTATTTATTTATTCATTCATTCATTTTAATACTTAACCATTCATATATTGCTTAAATTTTAAAAAATAAACTTGTTGTTTATTACGTATTTTCAAAATCCTTCCGCATCAATAAAAATATGTTTAATTAATGTGTCTTTTGGAGGTTTGAGCGTTATGTATGCAAAATCACAGTCAATCATTTGTGCATACCTAAAATTTTAGAAAAAGATGACTGTCATTTGATATTTATTTATAAGATGTGGTGTAATTGGATAAAATAGCCAACTTTTATAGCATCAAAAGATCCAACGGTAATGATTAGCTTACCGAAACAAAGCAGGGTTTCTTCAAAACCTTCATACCTATAAAACCGACACAGTTGCTTCTTTTCCGGTGCGGCGCAGTTCGTTCTGCCCTCCCCCATTTTTGTCATTTAAAAAAAAAATCCAAAAAAAGGAGAAAATCATAAACTACTCTTTTCTACGTCGTCGGCATTATCGTTCCGTTCAGCTCCGGATCTCTGACGATTTTATCCCCATTTTGCGGATCACTATCTTTTATTCAAGACACCGAAAAAAATCTCCTTATTTTTAATTTAGATTTAGAATCTGTTTTTATATTTTCCTCAATAGTTTTGATTGAATAACAAGAGAGGAAAAAAACTGAAAAAAGAAAAAAAAGAACGATCTAGAAGAGTTAGGGCTGCAGTTTTTTATGGCACAGATTCAGGTCCAGTATCAGGCGACGGTTTCCGCGCCGAACGGTGTTGCTCCCGTGACCGGAGGACCGCAGTTTATGCTTACATCGCTCTATGTTGGGGATCTTGATCCTACCGTTACCGACGAACAGCTCTACCAAACATTTAGCCAGATGGCTCAGGTCGCTTCAGTAAGAGTTTGTCGGGACTTGGCTTCTGGCCGCTCTCTAGGCTATGGCTATGTTAACTATAACGATCCTCGTGATGGTTAGTCTTCTACTTAGATTTAAAATTTATTCTCTGTTTAGTGATTTAATTATTTAAATATCTTTGTTGCTTAGCCTGATTTTTAATTCATTTGGAATGTGAATATATATTATTTATTTTCGGGAAACTTTGTTTGTGGTGATATGAAAATTTTTGAGAAATATTTATGTGTAGATTTTATTGGAAGTTCTTTATTTTGTGTAGAATTTAAGCTAATTAATGTTTAATCCAATTTAGTTGCAAAGTTTAAGTGTACTATTGTATCTATACCATTTCTGTTGATAGCTAAATCGCAATGTTTTCTTGAAGTGTAGATATCGTCATTTCCTATGTTTTGCCTTGAAACTTTTCGTATTGGATTCTTTTAAATATAAAAATGTATCTTTTCAAAAATACTTTACACAGCTTTTCAATTCCTATGTTTTGCTTTTAAACTATTCTTAATGTATTCTTTAGATTTACTAAGTATTTGACACAGATTTACCCAATTTGTTTCCTATTATGTCCACAAGAGTGGACTGAACTATTATGTTAGAAATTCACTTAAAAAATTAAGTTTTAGAATTCATATCTCTGATGTTTCTGTTCTAAATAATTTTTATCTGGGAGAATGATTTCTTACTTTTGAATTCTGCAATTAATTAATGCTGTCTTTTTTAATTAACATCGCCCTTTTTTTATTCTTGTCTATAGCTGCTAGGGCATTGGATCTACTGAATTTCACGCCACTGAATAACAAGCCCATTCGTATCATGTACTCTCAGCGAGACCCTAGTCTTCGTAAGAGTGGTACTGCAAACATATTTATCAAGGTATCAAGCCATTTTCAGTCTTGTTGAATTTTTTTCACACCCTTTCTTTCTCCTATGGCTACTTCCCCCTCTAAAATAAAAAATATAGTCATTTTGATTGGGAGTTGTTGTCAGGTCTTTTAGTACCTTTGTTCTTACCCGTTCAAATCTCTGCCCATCCATTCTCAATATTCATGCAAATATAGATGCAAAATATCCTTTCTTAAACTTCATTCTTTCTATTTGTAATCATTCTCATGCATGCTTGTTTTCTCCATGTGCTATTGTTGGCTTCCAATATTGACCTAATCCTTTGTTTTTTGTTTCTGCTGTAGAACATGGACAAGTCTATTGACCACAAAGCATTACATGATACATTTTTTTCATTTGGAAACATCCTTTCTTTCAAGATAGCTACTGATGGTCTTGGCCAGTCTAAAGGCTATGGTTTTGTACAATTTGACAATGAAGAATCTGCTCAAAATGCAATCAATAAATTAAATGGCATGTTGATCAATGAGAAACAGGTCTATGTTGAACCTTTCCTTCGTAAGCAGGAAAGAGACACTGGTTTGGATAAGGCCACATTCAATAATGTTTATGTGAAAAATCTTTCTGAGTCTACAACAGATGAAGACTTGAAATTAAATTTTGGTGAATATGGTGAAATTACTAGTGCTGTAGTTATGAGGGATGCAGATGGGAAGTTAAAGGGTTTTGGATTTGTCAATTTTGAAAATGCTGCTGCTGCTGCTAAAGCTGTTGAAGCTCTTAATGGAAAGAAGTTTGACAAAAAAGAGTGGTATGTTGGAAAAGCCCTGAAAAAATCTGAAAGAGAGAATGAGCGAAAAGCCCGATATGAGCAGACTTTAAAGGAAGCTGCTGATAAATTCCAGGGTTTGAATTTATATATTAAAAACTTGGATGACAGTATTGGTGATGAAGCATTGACAGAACTGTTTTCAGAGTTTGGTACCATTACTTCGTGCAAGGTCTGTAAAATGAGTCTTGGTTGATTGCTGATGCTAGATACTGTATTCTTGTTCATTTTATATTAGTTACTGCCTTTTCCCCTTGAAAACTTTGCAGGTTTTGCGTGATCCTATTGGAATTAGCAAGGGCTCTGGGTTTGTGGCCTTTTCAACCCCTGAAGAAGCATCTCGTGCTGTAAGTTTGAATTTGTTTTCTCTTTGGGTGTTTATCTAAATATGAGGTCATATTCTAGTTAGTACATTTGTTATGCATGTACAGCTTGCTGAGATGAATGGTAAAATGGTTGCTAGCAAACCACTTTATGTTGCACTTGCTCAAAGGAAAGAAGAGAGAAGAGCAAGGCTACAGGTAATACCATTTTTGTTGATTTTTTGGCCATCTAGTTATTTTCTTGCAATCATGCTTTGATTATTGCTTTGCATAGTTTTCTTTTATATAGTTTTGTTTGTAATTTATTAAATGTATTGTGCTTCTTACTTCTGAAATTATTGGCTTAATGTTCTTAATCGTTTGGGATTTAAGTGTATTTATGTTGTTTTGTTCCATCTCTTCATTTTTCTTTGAGTATCCTTGTCCAACATTGTGTCTGATGCATGCGAGGACGTGGTCATGGGATAAGATTTTCCGAGGATTAGAATAAATGCAAATCTTGGGTATTTTTTAACATAAATTTCAAACCCATCCAAGTAATGGGTTCTCTGATAGTTCCACAAATCATTCTGTATTTCAATTAGTTTTATCTCATTTTATATTTTTCAGGCTCAGTTTTCCCAAATGAGGCCGCTTGCTATGTCTTCTGTCAGTCCTCGTATTCCAATGTATCCTTCCGGTGCTTCAGGTCCTGGCCAACAGTTTTTATATGGGCAAGCACCTCCAGCTATCATTCCTCCACAAGTAATATATCTTTACTCTTTTCTCTCAGTTTTACATGGTTGACATTTTTTTACTTTGTCCCTCAGTCTAAGTTGGCATAGTTGTCTGTTTTGAGGATTTGCTTTTGTTGAGAACATCTGAATTATGGATATGCTTGTTTCCTTGTGTTATCTATTTTAGACTGGTTTTGGTTATCAGCAACAACTGGTTCCTGGAATGAGGCCTGGTGGCCCTTCTGTCCCAAATTTTTTTGTTCCCATGGTTCAGCAGGGACAGCAACCAGGGGGACGACGAGGAGCAGGTCAGGTGCAACAGTATCAGCAACCAGTGCCATTGATGCAGCAGCAGGTGAGCTGTCTGCGTATGTGTTGGAACCCGCATTTTATGCTATGGCTGTATTCATCATACTAATTCATCCTCGTTCCAGATGCTGCCCAGGGGACGTGTCTATCGTTATCCCCCAGGTCTTATGATGCCTGAAGTTCCAATATCTAATGTTCCTGGAGGCATGCTTTCTGCTCCATATGACATGGGTGGCATGCCATTGCCCAATGCTGGCATTGGGCAGCCTATGCCTGTACCAGCATTGGCCACAGCTCTTGCAAATGCATCACCTGAACATCAGAGGACTGTAAGTCCATTTGTTGATATCTTTTTACAGTTGGTGGGGGTTTCGTTTCTGGTTTATTTAGCTTTGAGATCTTTATATATTCGTTGCAACTGTTGAGCAGATGCTCGGTGAAAGCCTATACCCCCTTGTGGAAAGGCTGGAGCGTGATTCAACAGCCAAGGTTACAGGCATGCTACTGGAGATGGACCAAACAGAGGTTTTGCATCTCCTTGAATCACCAGAGTCTTTGAAGGCTAAAGTATCTGAGGCCATGGAGGTGTTGAGGAGTGTTGCTGCTCAACAACAGGCCAACAGTCCAGCTGACCGATTGGCGTCACTATCACTGAATGATAACCTTGTTTCCTGAGTCTAAAATGACCGGAATTTGGGGTATGGTATCCTGGCCGAGAATATGCTAGACCTTTTATCAACTCTTGGCTATATTAGTTTTTTAGTGCCGAAGTTTTGGACTTTTATGCTATGCTTTTGGAAAGGGGTTTTTTTAGTTGCTAGAACATGGTTTGAATTTGCTCAAGTTTTTATTTAGTGGGTAAACCATAGTTTATTTAATTTCATTGAACCTTTCCTTTATTTCAATTTATTTTGGTTCTGAATACTTCTTTGACATGCTTTTAAATACTTTTTTTTAAAAAATAAAAAGGCTTTTCTTTTTAGTTCTTGAAGTATGTATTTTTTTTCTAGTTTAGAATCTGTATTCTTCAGTCTTTTATCTTCTTTTTACTTAGTAAACTAAAAGAATATTTTTATTATTAATTTTTTTATTAGTTGAGGATAATGCCATTTTCCCCTTTTACTCACGAGAAAAATGAATTATTTCTCCTCCTATCAAGTTTAGAGTTTTGAAATCCATTTCTTTTTCAAATTAGAAAACCCTTCCTATCTGCTCTTATAAAGCTATTTTCAACCCCTTCATCTCTTCTGTTCTATCGATTTTAGACTAAAAAATCCCCATATTGTTAAATCGATTCTTAAAATAATGGTTGGTGGATGTTTAAGATCTCACAATGATTCAAATAGAATCAATTGTTATTGTTTTGATTGAAAACGCCAATTTGTACTCCAACTAAAAATTAGAGTATGGGTACTAAAGCTACGAAACTGTATTAATATATTGGGTTTCACTTTCAAATTAGTTTAGGTTCAAGACAGTTTGAATTCTGAGAGATATTAGGGATGTGCATTGTGAAATTTTGGTTCTGAAGTTTGGATTTTGTGAAAATTAGTTATAATCGTAAGATTATAATTTTTCACATATATTTATTATAGTTGGTTTGGAACATTCTTTTTGTTATCGTTGTATAGATAAGTTTAGTTATTTGGAATGGCTTGAAGATGAGGATGAGCATACATGAGGAGAGAAGGATGAAACACTTGGATTAGTTATAACTGTAAGTCTGTAAGACTTGCCCCAACCCCAAATGCAGTTGTTTCTATGGCATTGTGTTTGTGGTTTCCCGGAGTATCTGTGTTGGGATCGAATGGCAGCTCATGAGACCGAAATTGAAACACCTTGATTCACTTCTACCATCGTCTCAACAAACAAATTCCGAGTAAGTACAACTTGCGATGCTCCTCTGAAAACGTGGAGCAGTCGGTGCATGTACGAGGACCATCGTGTTTTGGAATATCCTTTCAATTTCTTTTTTGCTGACATCAACACCCTTCATTAGACTTGAGACTTCCCGGGTTTTTTGAGAAATAAATTCGTCCACGTTTAATGGCCCACGGTTGATATGATGCCCTCATTATTTTCAAATTGCTGCATCCCTACGCTTAGATCTCCAGAGAAAAAACTTGGCACAGATAATGTGTTTCTCAAGATTTATTTCCTACTCTACGATGGATGTTACAGTGTTGATAAAGGGAGGAAGTTAGAATTATCACGCGACTTCAAACTTATCATGCACAAGAATACTCCGTGAAATTGTAGATGTACTGCAGTTAATGTGTCTTCTTCGACGAAACCAAAGAAGACGCACTATAGACCATGCATCTTTTCCAACAAAACTGAAGAAGACACACTGTAGTCTATGCATCTTTTCCAATACCGTAGTAAATGCCCTATTTGAGAAGATAATCTCACGAATGCAGGGATTAATTTCTTTTTCACTGTCCTGCATGAGCAATTTTGCTTAGAAAACTTATTAGTATATACGCCGGTATCATCCTATAAATTCAAGTGCATGCATTGTGTTCAAGTTGATGGCGGGCATATGGGGTTGAAGATGACGAATAAGTTGCACATTTGACAAGTTTGCATAAATATTGGTGAGGACTTCAAGATCTGAATCACCATTGCCTTGTTGATCATCATTGTCATTTTGGTCTCTGTATTGAGATCACTTCCTTGTATGAATCTCCCGCAACAACAAAGTTCAATCCGTACAAAGATGACCGCCTCTCGACGTATACCACTCTTGCTCTTCATTTTGCTATTAGAAACTTGTGTGATAACTATTGAAATTTGTAACATTGTTAATTTGATTCGGTAATAAATCATATGTTATATTAAAACCTCAAAACTGAAACTTAAAATAAATTAAAACCAAACATCCATTCAATCATTTGGATATGCATGAATTGGCAATCGAAGGACAGAATAACAATATATAATAATTATATACACTAAATTACATTCAATTCACAATAAGAGGATTAAACATATATTAAACCAGAACATACATTTTAAAAATCAATTATTAATACAATTATATCTTATTATGATTTACCTTTGATTCTATTATTCATGTACACCACGATTAAGTTGTAAATAATTTAATTAACATATTTCACTTGGTTTATTTTGATTTACCTTTGATTCTATTATAGTCACTTTTTTATATAATCTCATTTTAGTCTCAATACTTTTAATTTTTTATTTTAAGCTTAAAATAAAAAAAATTAAAACAATGTTATTTACTATGCTTGATAACTTTATCAAAATCAATTTAATTATATCTTAAAGGTAAATATTTCTGGAATGCAGAAAATAATTCTTCGACCAGCTGGAGCTTAAGGAAATTATTTAAATTGAGGCACGACTGCTACTATCTCAATGAGGAATATATGGGATGAAATTCAAGTAAAAAGACCCCTTATAATATGGCAGGAAATTATCTGGTTTCCTCTCCATTTACCAAAACACATCTTAATTTCTTAGATGGCTTTACTTGATTGACTCCCTACTAAAGATAGACTTCTTCATATGGGGCTTATCAATGATTGCCAATGTATGTTTTGTGATGAACCATTAGAAACTAGGGATCACTTATTTCTCCATTGTCTTATGGCTGACTTCTTGTGGAACTCTATCTTCTCTCTTTCTTCCTCTCCATTTACCAAAACACATCTTAATTTCTTAGATGGCTTTACTTGATTGACTCCCTACTAAAGATATACTTCTTCATATGGGGCTTATCAATGATTGCCAATGTATGTTTTGTGATGAACCATTAGAAACTAGGGATCACTTATTTCTCCATTGTCTTATGGCTGACTTCTTGTGGAACTCTATCTTCTCTCTTTCTGGTCTTCGATTCAGAACTCATTCTTGGGATTCCTTTTTGACTTGGGCCTGCTCTTACTGGAAAGGAAAAATCTTTGCTTACTTCCATAATGAAGTTTGCTCTTAATGCTCTGATTTACTTTATTCGGGAAGAAAGGAACAATAAATAGTTTCAAGGCCGATCAAGAGCTGTGTCTGATTTGCTTCGAGCCATCAAAGACACTGTCGGATCACAACTTAGGGGTAGAAATTTATATAGCATTGATAGTGTTAATACTAATCTTTGTAAGCATTGGGACATTGTTTGATTTTGATTCTTTTGTATGTAATCTGTTCCTGATGCTCCCAAAACACTGATTTTTGTAACAGGATCTGTTCATGGGTAATAAATTTTGATTATAAAAAAATCAATTTAATTACCGATGATTTCACATGTACTACAAAAATATCACTATTTCTTTAATTAATCAGTTACCAACCTAAATCCCTAATCTTTTTGGTCTAATTTTACATTGGGGAGGGTCATTTGGTCATTCGTGTAGTTTTCATGTCCCGAAAAAGGGGGGAAAGAAAATAAGAATACAATTTGAGTGTTTTTCCTGAAATATCACATATACCCTATATTATTCCCTGTCAGGCACCCTTAAGACTATTTTTCCTGATCTAACACCCTTTGTAGTAAGGCGCGCCCCCTACAGCGCGCTTTACGCTGATATGGCGCCACGTGGGATAAGGTGCGCCCTGCAGCGCGCTTTACGCTGACATGGTGCCACGTGGGGTATAGCGTGTGGCAGAGTCAGCACTTTACCTTTAATGCTGACACGCGTCAGAAAGGCGCGCCCCTTACGGCATACCTTAGGTTTAATTACCCACCTATCCCGGCCGTTCACACCCCACCTCTTCCCTATAAATACTCTCATTCTCAATCACTTTCATCACACCAAATCCTCTCAACTTCTCTCAAATACTCTTATATTCTATTTTAACTGTTTAAGGTATATTTTATTATATTTAATATTTTATTTTTAATTTATTTAAGTATTTAAATTTTTTAATATTTTATTTAATTAATTTTTTTACAGATATAAAATGGAAGGAGGTCTACTTCGCTTGGATGAAAATCATATATCGCGACATTTTGTTGATACGGTAACATTTTAACATTTTAATATAATTTAATTTTTTAGTAATAATTTATTTATTTAATATGTGATTATTAGTTTAAAAATTAATTTTTTAATTATTTAATTTTAGGAGAGGGACCGTGTATTAGATCATTTTATTAGGAACCTTAAGTTAGTAATACCTAACCGTGTCTTGCTGTATTTAGTAGAGGCTGGATTCGGTCAAATAGGTAGATATGAAGGTCACTGTAAGATAGAACCAGACCTTATTTCTGCCTTAGTGGAGCGATGGAGGCCGGAGACCCACACATTCCATCTTCCGTGCGGAGAGTGCACGATTACACTTGAGGATGTTTCTATGCACCTCGAGCTTCCGGTGGATGCAGATGTGATATCGGGGATGGCGCACGATTCATGGACTGCTTTGTGCCGGGACTATCTAGGACATGTCACTGAAAGTTTTAACGGTGGTCGGATACCGTTAAATTGGTTAGATGCCAATTTTCGGGAGTTGAGCGAGAACGCCTCTGATGATGAAGTTAAAATATATGCACATGCATGCATACTGCAGCTGATAGGAGGGTTGTTGATGCCAGAAAAATCACGCAACCAAGTTCATTATATGTGGTTGCAACATTTTGGCGACTTTCGTCTGGACGGATCACTCAGTTGGGGCTCGACAGTTTTGGCTTTCCTGTACAGGGTTATGTGTCGAGCCACTGACTACAAGAAAAATGCTATCGGCGGATATCTCATGCTGCTGCAGTCTTGGGCATGGCATCGATTGCCCTTTTTAAGTCCCGTTGTCAAGAACCCATTCGTATTTTCGCTACTATTGAGGTGATTATAAAACTGATTTCGGGTATTAATTATTTTATATAGTGTATAATAATTTTATTTTCCTTGAATAGGTGGTCTACTGTTAGGAAAAATCATCAGGAGCTACC